TGGTTTGGAGATTTAAGACTCCTCCATTTTCAAAGTCAAGGATCAAACCCTCGACCTTTGGTTAAGGGTGAATGAGGGAGCGTTATGCTGTGCAACCATGTGCGCCATGCATGGTGCACACAGTTGCAAAAATGACGTCGTTTTAACGTCCAACTTTTAAAAAAAAAAATTTCTATTTCGATTGCCGTTAACGGCGTTATGTTGTGCATAATTTGAACTATACATCCATAACTTCATAAATATACATTCAGAATTGGTTAACTACACATCCATAACTTAATAACTATACATTTAGAATTACATAACTACACATCCATTAACTTCATAACTATACATTCAGAATTACATAACTACACATCCATAACTTCATAATTATACATTCAGAATTGCATAACTAACACAACCATAACTTCATAACTATACATTCAGAATTGCATAACTACACATGCATAACTTCATAACTATACATTCAGAATTCCATGCATAACTACACATCCATAACTTCATAACTATACATTCAGAATGTGAAATTATAACTTCATAACTATACATTCAGAATTGCATAACTACACATCCATAACTTCATAACTATACATTTAGAATGTGAAATTATAAAATTATGAACATATGTTTACGTAACTAACGGCAATCGAAAATGATTTTTTTAAAAGTAAAATGACGTCATTTTTGCAACCGTGTGCACCATGCATGGTGCACACAGTTGCACAGCATAATTTGTCGTGAATGAGTCCCTTCCACTCAACCACACCCTCCACCCGGCATCCAGGTTATTATTATTATTATTGTTGTTGTTGTTGTTGTTGTTATAATTTTAATTTATTCCATAATATGTCTTTTGGCTTTCTCTTTGTGCCCAGTAACATTTTAATATTAGTTTTAAAAATTGTGATGTTGATAAAACCTCATTTATTTACCCCAACAAGACCACAAAATCTAAAAATCAGCCCTAATTTATCGTGTAAAACATGGAATACATGTGGCGGGTGCATGGTGGAATCCAATTCAAGATGGATTGTGCTTCCATCCCTCTCCGATCCAACTAATTAACAACGCAACAGTACTTGTCCCAATTGATATGATTAGCGTACATACCCTTGTGAGAAGGGCATCTCTGATCTGCATTTGGCGGCTACCTTCCATCCCTCTCCCTCAACCTGCTGGTCCCAACCATTAACATTTAAAGCCAGCTAACGATCCGGGGGACTAGCCTCCCAAGTTACACGTACAGAGAGCCAGAGCCCCTAACTAGAGTATGGGCCAACTAGTTCGATGAATAAAACAACAAATAATATTTTGAAAAGAATTAAGTAAAGAATGACATTGATAAAAAATGAGACCAGCTAATGCCCAATCTTTTCTTGATTGAGTGATGGCGATTATGGCATTGTGACAATCAGACTCCAAGCAGTATCTATCGAGTTTGAGGTTCTTAAGCCAAAAAAGTGCCTCTCTACAAGCGTTTGATAAGGATCTTGGACATATGTAATAGGGCCGCTCCGTCCCAAAGCTTGCCGTTTTTGTAGTGTATGTGGAAGAGAGCTGCGTCTACTTGGCATCTCACCAAATCCTCTGGTATAACAGTGAGAATGGAATCCGTGGGAGCAATTACTTCTGTTGATAAATAAATGTATAGAAAGTAATTTTACTGAGATGCGAACTATAACTATGTGCTGTATAGTTTGGTGATTGTATGTGATTGGTTATGAGTTATGACTAGTTTACTTTTCACGAGGTATCAAATCTATTGTTACATGTTAAAACTATAATTCTATCCAAAGTGTTTTTATAGTAGGGATCTTTAACCATTCTTTTCTTATATCACTACTACAAAATTATTGAACATATAAATATAAATTTTCACCCTCTTAATAAATGTGTAGTGAATAATTGAAAAAAATCTGATGACAATACCGTAAATAAGTACATAAGAATACATTACACCTTTATTTAAAAGGTGTAGTGGACTCTCTCTCTCAAAAAAAAAAAAAAAAAAAAAACAAAAACATGCCTACTTTCAACAGCACGTTCTTTAAGAACCTGGCACGGAAAGTAATTTTGTAAAAAAAAAAAAAAACTATAAAGCTTTCCACGACACCCTCTGGGGGAGCGTGCTGCGGAAAGTCAAGGGAAAATAACACCAGTTCACGAACAGATCTGAGACGTTACCATTTTCTCCTCCAACCTTAGCCATTTCCGTTTCCAACAGATCTGAAATCATAGCTGACACTGCCATCATTCAGCCGCCGCCGCCCTTCCTCCACTGAAGCTACCATCCGACGCTACCGCCTCAGCCGCCCTTCATCCGCTGACTGCCTCACTCGTGACCGCCACCAATGCCGATGCCAAACGCCACCGCCACCACCCCCATCGCCGATTCCACCGCTGTCACGGTAAGTATTTTTATTTATTTTATATTTAATTTATTTCAGTTTTTTGTTGATTTATTTCGAATATTATTGTTATTGTGCTATATTTGATACTTTAAGAAAGAGTAAATACCCAAAATGGTCTCTCGACTATAGCTAAATTCATAAATTGGTCTTCGACTTTCAATTTCAACCAATTAAGTCTTTAACTTTGCAATTTTAACACAATTTGGTCCTTTGTCTATTTGACCGTTTGTTGACTGCGATTTTTTAGGATATATATGTAATTTCATGGTCCATCGTCGGTTTTTTAAGATTTCGGTTGCATTTCCAGACCGCACTGTTACATTTTAATCCATTGCCGAAAACAATCTACCAAATCCGGTCGCCTTTCTTCATCCTCCCTTACATAGATAGATCGCCGAAGTCCTTGGAGCGGCTATCTTCAAGTGAGCCGTGACTCCGATGTAAGCAAGCTGAACCGGCTCGTGATCCCCATGCAGCAAGCAGAGAAGCACTTCCCCCTCCGAAACGTCTCTGTCACCTCCAAGAGCGTTCTCTAAGCTGAATCGGCTCGTGATCCCCAAGCAGCAAGCGGAGAAGCACTTCCCCCTCCGAAATAACGTTGTCACCTCCAAGAGCGGTCTCTTGAGCTTTGCACGTGAAATTACATATATATCCTCAAAGATCATGGTCAACAAACGGTCAAATAGATGGAGGACTAAATCGTGTCAAAATTGCAAAGTTAAGGGCTTAATTGGTTGAAATTAAAAGTCAAGGATCAATTTACGAATTTAGCTATAGTCGAGGGACCATTTTAGGTATTTACTCTTTAAGAAATTTATTTTGAGTTTTTGTTAATTTATTTCGAATTTTAGTGTTATTGTGCCATATTTAATTTTATTTTAAATAAAATGTATTTCAAATTATTGTTGATTTATTTTAAATTTTATTGTTACTGTGCTATATTGTGCTAAATTTGATTTTTAAAAAAAAAAAAAAAATCTAATGTTTGTGCATTTATTTGGAATTTTATTGTTGCTGTGCTATATTGTGCCATATTTATTTTTAAAATTTCTGAAAATAAATCATTTGTTTGTCAAACAATTTAAAATAGTATTATTTCTAAGTATATGAAATAAATAGTATTAATTAATAAAATCACAATTAAATTAAACTGAATGTGTCAGAACAACTCCTTAGAAGAGCACTAACGACAATTTGCTCTTGGCGAAACCAAACTGAATGTGCCGGGTTCGTGGTGATTTGTGTAGCATCAGAAAACTTGGCTGGTTCCTTAAAGAACCATCCATGTAACCAAGGAGGTTGAGGTCAATCAGTGTGGATTGTACTTGACACCTCCATACTGAGAAATTTGTGGTGGTTAGTTTTATAGGAAAATGAGATGTAGCAGTGATTTGAAGAATGTCATTAGTGGCAACACTGGATGATGAAGCCATTGATACGAAGAAAGGAAAAAACAATAACTTTCGTAGGAGATAGTTGGCTCTTGATACCATGTAAAGGCTATGTGAGCATTAATCAGTTGTTGTTATTGATGAGAAATACAGCCTATATATAGTACATAAAAGAGAGCAAATAGTGGGAAGTTGTGACCACTATTCAATCATAACTAGTCTATATGAGCACAAATAGAACAAAGAATAATTGAATATTATCCTAGCCACATATTGACTTAAAATATGAGAGATAGAGCTACTTGAATATAAAATTTTACATTAAAAAAATGAAATTACACTCAATATTGATTCAAATATAGAATATCTTATATTACATATATTGTGATGTACACAAGTATATTTTCATTGCTACATTTTGAAATTTATTTTTAATATTTATTTTTCATATTTATAATTGTATAATATATTTTGTGAAATTGGTATTTTGATGAATTAGGTATATGATTAAATATGTATTTAGAGACATTAATTTGATTATATATATATATATATATATATATATATATATATATATATATATTGAGTACTTCATATGAATTATGCCGTTTGATGAATTAGATTGACTTTGATGTGTTACTTATTATATAATTTGATGAGTTAGGTATTTTGATGAATTAATTTGATTTGGTTGAGTCAGATATATATTCTTTGATTATAAACTAGGTATTTTGATGAATTAAGTATCTTGATTACGACATACCTAATTTGATTTTGGTGCTACCTAGCTAATATCGTTTCTAAATGCGTCCATAATCGAGTATCCATCTGATCTTCATAGTACTATCATACCAATTGGATAGATATGAATCGGAGTTCGATGTATGACAAATGCACTACACTCAAATGTATGAAAAAACCAATCTAGCAAGCACTTTGCTCCTTAATTGGGCCGGCCTCTTATAGTTAAGGCTTGCTCAGAACACCTCATGGCCTGACAATATATATATATATATATATATATATATATATATATATATATATATATATATATATATATATATATATATATATAAGGGGTTCAAGAGTTTATACAATATGCTGAAGAAAATATAATTAAAAGACGGAAGATATCGTAGTTCTAATGAAGTGGATATCTATTTGATATGCCTGACTTTAAGGAAGTGTACAATCAATGGATATGGCATGGTAAAAGCTTACCTCCTAGTACAAGTGTTAGTAAGAATGAAGCTCATGTAGATAGTGAAACTCATGAAGAGAGTGAAATTAAACTCAAGCAAATAGTCAAACTCAGGCAGATAATGAGGAGAATAATGAAACAAATGTTAGCAATGATGAAGATGATGAAATCAATAACTGAATAGATGAAATGATGCGTGATGTGCATGGAGATTTTAGTGAAATGCTTCTTGAATTTAAATGTTTGTTTGACAGTGCTCAAAAACCTTTATTCTATAGGTGTACCAAATATACTAAGTTATCTGTTGTGCTTAAATTATATAATTTAAAAGCAAGGAATGTATGGAGTGATAAGAGTTTCACGGGATTATTAGAACTACTAAAAGACATGCTTCCTAATGATAATGAACTTTCAAATTCAGCCTACGAAGCAAAAAAGTTGTTGTGTTCGTTGGGTATGGATATTGAGAGGATACATGCATGTCCAAATGATTGTATTGTATTGGAAAGAATACAAAGACATGCATGTGTCCAAAGTGTGGGTCATCATGTTATAAAAGGAAAAATGTTGATGATGAGTGTGGAAATAAGAAAGGTCCACCAGCGAAAGTATTATGGTATTTACCCGTAATACCAACATTTAAACGCATGTGTGCTAATTGAAGGGAGGCAAAAAATTTGCAATGGCATGTTATTGGGAGAAAAGACGATAGAAAACTAAGACATCCAACTGATTCACCACAATGGAGGAATATTGATAGGAGGTGGCCTAAATTCGGTACTGAAAACATGAATTTTATACTTGGATTGTGTACTGATAGAATGAAACCTCATGGTAACATGAGTAGTCGACACAGTACTTGGCATGTCTTTTTAGTAGTCTACAATCTTCCACTTTGGTTGTATATGAAGCGGAAATACATCATGTTATCGTTGTTAATATCATGGCCTAAACAGCCAGGAAATGACATAGATGTATATCTAGCGTCACTTATTGAAGATTTAAAGATGTAGTGGAATGAAGGTGTGCCAGTGTATGATGCTTATAGTCGAAGTAGTTTTACCTTACGTGCAATGATCGTTTGCACCATAAATGATTTTTTAGCTTATGGTAACCTATCAGGTTATACTACTAAAGGAGCTAAGGCATGTCCTATTTGTAAAGATGAAACTTCCGATCTATGGTTGAGTAACACTAAAAAGAATGTGTTCATGAGTCATAAGACATTTCTCCCAATTGGTCATCATTATCGAAAGAAGAAAAAATCTTTCAATGGAAAATAAAAAAACTCGAGTAGCTCGTTTGCCTTTATCTGGACATGCGGTTCATGAACGTTTTAAAAATGTTGATGTTGCTTTTGGAAAAACTTGTAAGACTACTCAGAAGACTTTCTTGAAGAAGAGGTCTATATTTTGGGATCTACCATATTGGGAGCATTTAGCAGTTAGACGTTGTCTTGATGTGATGCATATTGAGAAGAATGTTTGTGACAACATTATTGGAACACTGTTGAACATTCAGGGAAAGACAAAAGATGGTATTAAAGCTAGAAATGATATGGTTGAAATGAGAATACGTGAGAAGTTAGCACTACAAGAATCGGGAAAACGGGCATACTTACCTCCAGCTTGTTATACTTTGTCCAAAAAAAAAAAAAAAAAGAGAAAACAAGTTTTTGTGCCTATTTAAATGGTGTCAAGGTTCCTTCCGGTTATTCATCGAATATTTAAAAACTTGTGTCAATGAAAGACCTTAAATTGATTGGCATGAAGTCTCATGATTGTCATTTATTAATGTAGCACATGTTACATGTTGCTATTCGGGATATTTTACCGAAACATGTTAGGCAAGCTATAACAAAACTTTGTTTCTTTTTCAATGCTATTTGCAATAAAATTGTTGATATAAATGAGTTATATGCAGGCTGCTGTGTAGGGGTTGTTACTTTGTGTCAACTTGAATCTATTTTCTGCCTTTCTTTTCTTTTTTTTTTTTTTTGATATTATGGTGGACTTGATTGTTCACTTGGTTAGGAAAATTAAGATCATTGGTCTGGTTTTTATAAGATATATGTATCATTTTGAAAGATACATGGGAATATTGAAAGGATATTTGAGAAACAGATACTGACGTGAAGGAAGTATAATTGAAGGTTATGGTTCTGAAGAGGTCATTGAGTTCTGTACTGATTATTTAGTTGATGTTGAGTCTATTGGTATTCCCAAACCTCTTCATGAATGAAGACTCGGTGGGAAAGGTACTATTGGATTAAAAATAGTTCTTCCACATATAAACTTGTGAGATAACTAGATAAGGCACGTCATCTCGTATTGGAACACTTTTCTGGGGTTCATCCGTACTTGGACCAACACATGTCCACGATAAGACAACAACAGAATCCTTCAAAGGGTGAAAGATAGGTGACCATTGAACACAATCGTACTTTCATAAGATGGTTCAAAGATACTATGATGAAAGAGTTATCTCAAGTGCCAAATAATGTCAGTGAAACCATCAAATGGTTATCATATGGACCTGCTATGCTTGTGAGTTGTTATGAAGGTTATGATATAAATGGATATACATTTTATACCAAGTGACAAGATGAAAAGGGTGCGGTAAAAAATAATGGGGTTGCATTAGTAGCAATATCAAAAGATTATTCAAGTGTTAAAGATGTTGGAAAAAATAGCTTAAAATGGCATAAAATGGCATGTTAAGTGGCTATTTTGTGGTACAATTATCAGTGGGGTCCACTTCCGATTTGGGTCTGGTTAAAGTGGATTCGGATCCTTCGTAGTGAGACGAAGAGATTGATATATTGTACGCTCAAAACGGATAATGGGTGAATGAGATATTGATTCTCAATGTAGACCCATTTGAGTTGGAAAATGAAGGGAAAAAGTGAGCTTTTGTCCCACATTGCTTTGGAATGAAGATTCCCCCCCCCCCCCCCCCCCCTATATACAAGAGCTCTTTTGAAGCTTGTAGAATTGTATAGCATAGAGGCTCTCTTGCGCGCGCGCGCGCGGGGGGGGGGGGGGTGGGGGGGGGGTGGGGGGGGGTGCAAATCGAATTCCAACTACACGAGATAGGCTTGATTTCAAGCTCGAGCTCGCGCGCGCCGGCACGGATGTCGTCCGAAAATTGGCTGGCCTTGTGGGTTAAGTTATGCCAAATTTCGGTATCATTTTCGAAACATGCCACTGTAACTTGATTCGGTTTGGGAACCGAAACTGAACAAGGCCGAACTTGAAAGTTCGACCTTGTGGCCATCATGGCCGAAACTAAATGTTTCGGCCTTGTGAGAATCATGGCCGAAACATGGTAGTTTCGGCCATGTGGGCACCATGTTTCGGCCTTGTGCCGAAACTTAGGGCCGAAACTGACACGAACCTGTGCAGTCTGTGACCGTTGGGTGTTCAATTCTACTGTTACGGAATTAATTCTTTGAATTAATTCCAATCTTTATTTTTGAATTGAAATCCATGGTAATGGCTGCTGTTACCAGGTGTAGTGGGGGGGGGGGGGGGTGTGCTTTAAAGTGCCCTATTAAAAGCTATTAAATCCTTCACCCCTATATAAAGAGGAGTTGGGCAGTAGAGTTTGATACACAGAAAATATAGAACACGAAAGTTCAATTTTTAGCCTCAAAACCTCTCTGCTTCTACTCCTTCTTTAGCCTCCTGTGTTCATAGCCGTGTCTTGCTCGCCGGATTCCTTGTTTGAGTGCTCAAACATTGAATCACTAGCAAGTTTATCCTGGGAAGGAAAGATGGAGAAATTTGGCACGGATGTCGTCTGAAAATTGGCTGGCCTTGCGGGCTAAGTTATGCCAAACTTCGGTATTATTTTCCAAACATGCCACTGTAACTTGTTTCGGTTTGGGAACCGAAACTGAACACTCAAGTTCGACCTTGTGGCCATCATGGCCGAAACTAAATGTTTCGGCCTTGTGAGAATCATGGCCGAAACATGGTAGTTTCGGCCATGTGGGCACCATGTTTCGGCCTTATGCCGAAACTTAGGGCCGAAACTTTCAGTTTCGGCCTACACGAACCTGTGCAGTATGTGACCGTTGGGTGTTCAATTCTACTGTTACGGAATTAATTCTTTGAATTAATTCCAATCTTTATTTTTGAATTGAAATCCATGGTAATGGCTGCTGTTACCAGGTGTAGTGGGGGGGGGGGGTGCCTTAAAGTGCCCTATTAAAAGCTATTAAATCCTTCACCCCTATATAAAGAGGAGTTGGGCAGTAGAGTTTGATACGCAGAAAATATAGAACACGAAAGTTCAATTTTTAGCCTCAAAACCTCTCTGCTTCTACTCCTTCTTTAGCCTCCTGTGTTAATAGCCGTGTCTTGCTCGCCGGATTCCTTGTTTGAGTGCTCAAACATTGAATCACTAGCAAGTTTATCCTGGGAAGCCTAGGCCACAACGCTCCTAGCATCTTTGGGAGGTGGCAAATAAGGTTTTAAGGAAAGAGTGCTCACTTGACTCTTGCAAAAACCCAACACCAAACACTAGCCAAATTTCTCCATCTTTCCTTCCCTTGTTTTCCAGAAAATAATAGTCAATTTTATTTGATTATTATTTATTTTCCTACCAACGGTTCCTACAAAAGATACTAAATCGATTAATGTTGCTATGCCTTACTATGGTGTGATTGAAAAAATTTGAGAAATTGATTACAATGTATTTAAAATTCCTCTATTCCGGTGCACTTGGGTTGATAATAGAATAGGCGTTCGGATAGATGAATTGAGTTTTACTTTGATTGATTTTGGTCGATTGGGTTATCACGATGAACCATTCATACTTCCATCTCAGGCAAAACAAGTGTTTTATGTTCCTGATCCTGTTGATAATAAGTAGTCAGTTGTCTTACAAAGCAAAAGAAATATTACTGGTGTTGGAGATGTTGATGAAAAAGAGTATGATCATTTTGATGAAACTCATCCATTTTCTATTGGTATTCAGTTTTTACCTTCAGAGGAAGATAACCTTGAAATTAGTTACATGCATAGTGATCATGAAGAAGGATTCTGGGTTGACCATCGGACATCATAATTTTTTGTTGTAAGATTAATAAATTGTTGACAATAACTTTTATTTGATATTTTATTGGACTTGAAATGATATATAACATGTTTATTGATATATATATTTTGTTTTGCATGTGCAGGTATATATAGACAATTATGAGTGATCAAACTAGAGAAACTTCTGGTTCAGACCCTAAAGAAACTCCTCTCGCACCTAAAAAAGGGGTCCCATAACATGCAAAAACTTGAAAAAGAAAAAGGCAAAAAACGAAGTTTCAATTCAGTTTGATGAATATAATAGGCCGATTGGATTATATTCCAAGAAGTTTACATCTTACATACATTGGAGACTTTGGTTCGTTCTAAAGTGGATATCAACATCGACATCTGGCCCAATGTAGATCATACGCTTAAAGATACAATTTGGAAAGATGTTAAGGTATCCAATAACTTTATATTAACTGTCAATTGTCAATTATTGTCATTGCTTATGTTTACGTTGTTGTTATTCAAAAACAGTTTTGCATTCAAGATGATACAAAGAAGCAGATGGTATTGAAAATTGCATCAACGAGATGGAGAGATTTCAAGAGTGGCGTGAACATCTTGTCAATAAGCACCCAAATGTGTTGATTGCTATTATTGTATTGATAGTATAAGTATATTGTGGCAATCCATTGTGTTGATTATTAATTGTGAAGTATATATAGTTTACAAACTATATTGTGATGATGTTTAATTTGTGTCGATAGTTATTAATGTTGGTTTGAAAATCATTGTGAATAGATAGCTTAATTTGCTATTATTAGTTTTGTAAATTTTTGTGTTGATTTGTTGATTTTGGAAAATTCTGTATAGAGTTTTGAATAAATAAAATTAGGTAGTTTTCAAAATTTAAATAAAATATTTTTTAAAAAATAATTGTTTCCGCGACGGGGGAAGTCATTATTAAGAAAAATGTTTCCGCGACACCCTCTCTTTTGAGGGTGTCGCGAAAAGTGTTTATTAAAAAAAAATCGTATGCTTTCCACGACACCCTTTAAAGCCCACACTTTTTTAGTCACCCTCATCCGCTGCACCTGTAACACCTTAACAGGTGCAGCGAAAACACTTGTACATGTATAGTTGATGTGCTCCTTTGTACTAGTGTATCTCTATTTTATAGGCTTATTAATTTATCCACATCATCATATAATCTTTTACTTTATTTTCTCTTCGATCATTCTCCTTTTTTCTTCACTTTATGTGAGCCCTATACTTAAAAGCATCATCTGATCTATTATTTTATCTACTTTTCTATAGTTAATAATTTTAACTTTATAATTATAATTTCAAATTTAAATTTTTAATAAAAATAAATTAAAATAAAAAATAATAATTTTTAAATTATAAAATATAATTTCATAAACTAATCAAAATATAATTTCATAAATTAAAATTTACATTCAAAAACTGTGTATAGAACAAATTAACATTTAGAATATAATGAACACAATATTTTAAATATTAAATATATCAATAATTAATACCATTAAAATTTTTAAAAACAAATTAAACTCGAAATTTAAATATAAAAATTTTAAAAAAAATAGTAAGGGAAGAGTGTGTGGTTACGAGTTGATAGTTGACGACCATTCTGATGCACCTAGCGGGCACAATATGTGCCTCTCACTTGTGTGCTTCGGTTGTAATCTTTAAAAAAAAAAAAAAATCAGTTTATGCAAAAAAAAAAAAACTTGATTTTTCTTATTCTATTGCCATATCACTTTCTCTGTCCTCTAACATAGTAAAAAAACTCCTTTAAAAACCTACATTGAGATTCCTCTTTTAAGTGCATGTATTTATGTGGGGTTCGGAGCGTAACTCCAAAATATTGAGTTTAAATTCCATTACTCACATCCCTCATTAGATACACTAAAAAGAAAAAAAAGAAAAAAAATCCTCCCAAATACGCTGTCGGGTCGGGGCCATTAAGGTTGGGGATTCGGCCTTTTTGGGAGAAGAAAAAAAGAAAAAAAAAAAAAGAAAGTATACTTGTATATAATTGTATAAACTGCCATCAAAACAATCAAGTTGTCCTGGTGGAGTTACCTCTATTTAAGGTCCAAGCTACCATTCCATTACTACTTCTGAATTGATGGGTACAGACCCAAAATCAATCTTGATGGGTTGCATCTAAACCGGTCTGAAGATTAGTTCTTGGTACCAAGTTGGTACATGTCTACATCCATGTTTGGTTTGGGACCTTATATAAGTTAGTTAACTATGTATATCTTGGTGGGTTCCATGGACAACCCATTGCCATGATTCCATGAAGGACATATCTGTGTTAATAATTCAGACATCTAGACAATGTTATAGAATTGAATGCAGCAAATAGGGGTTGGAGAGAGTTGATCCAATTGTCATATCATATCATGCAATGGACCAATGTCCACAATACAATCCAAAAATTATGTATCAGTAATTAATTTGTGTCTGTAAATAAATTGAAGGCACATAATTTGTTAACTTCAGATACATAATATGTGCATGCAGTTAACATATTATGTGTCTGTAGTTGACATATTATGTGTCTGTAGTTAACATATTATGTGTATTCAATTTATTTGCCCAAGACATAATCTTGTTAACGGTAATTCTGCAAACACATAATCTGAATGTCATTTTGGACCAAGGTCCACAATGCTGGTCCATGGTATAATTAGTTGAGTTGACAAATTATTGTGTGGACAATGGTCCACGCAGCTGTGTAGATCAAGGTTCAAAGCGACGTCGTTAGATATTACGAGTAAGAATAATGTACATTACAATGAAACTTCTAGGATAATATAATGTACATTACGTTTTAGAATAATGTACATTATGCTTTAGAATAATGTATATTATGAGTTATAAAAATGTATATTACAACAAGTCGCATAAATTTTTATTTTTTGTATACAAAATGACGTCGTTTTTAAACCGTGGTCCATGCAATAACTATTGATCCTACCTACCTTTGATATGTTAATTGTATCCTACTAATGAGTAGTCTATTTTTTATCCGTTTGCTTTTGCCAAGAGGACAGATAGACAACAGAAAACTAGGAATTGATGTGATGCATCATGGTAATTGGTAAAGATAGTTAACATCCCCAAATTGTATACTGGTTAAAGGGTTTTGATGCTAGATATGGATATATACAGAGTGATTCAAATGAACAGTACACACCAAAGAGTTTTAACACAGTGGTTGTTCTTCAAACAGAAGGGCCGGATCTCAGGACCCTCTCCACTTTCTCGGCTTTGGTATAGTCGTTTTCTGTTAGAGGTCCAGCAGGGAAAGGCGTGATCTCTACAATTAGGTGCGGGGTTGGGAGCTCATCGAACAGAGCTCTCACGTTATTGCAACACACGCTTTCTCCGTGAGCACTCTCCCTCCTTATCTGACAACCCTAGAAAACGAGGAGTTCTGTATGTAATATTTTGACTGATTGGCTAACAAAATCGCTGTTTTTTCAGTAATGTGAAATCGAAGCGAAGTAGTAAAGAAAATGGGAAGCGTAAAATTTTGTATTACCTTGTGAGAAGTGGCATCTCTAAAATGGTCATCATCTGATAGTAAGGAAGCAACGGCTCTGAGAAGGCGTTTCCCTTCAGATTTTGATGGGATCCGGTAATTGCGTCTGAGGGTCCCCTTAGTTGTTGGATGCCATTTGCTTACTAATTTCCTTCTGTCAGCAGCTTCCCTATCTGTTCAAAGAAAGAAAGTTGATGTTTTCCACTTTTCTCATTTATCGAGAATGTGAGTTTGAAAGAAGTTAATGTTCACGTAGCTTTAGAACATTGGCATAACCACATCATAGCAAGAAATTAATGCAACAATTACCATACTCCAAGAAAGCTGGTGTCTCTCAATCAACCCTTTCAGGCGAAATACGTTCTTAAATCTCACAAGAGCTTGATTATTCTCATCTCAAGAGTCAAGAATAACATTTAATTCTCTCTCTCACCTCTCATGGAGAAAAGATGAACAAAATAAGACAAATAAGTCTTCAAGTAAATCAATTCAACAACCAGTTGAAAAAGGTCGAAAGACTTCTATTTATAGCTCACTGGTTTAGTAGGCAGTGTTTGGGATAAGAGACCAAGGTTCAAAACTCGGCAGCGGCACTTGTGGGGATTATGCCCAAAGTGGGCAGATCCCTTGTGCGCACCGGCATTTGGCCCTGTCTGTTGAGCTATGAGTCACCGTGATTTACATCGGCCCTGTCTGTTGAGCTATGAGTCACCGTGATTTACATCCTCCCAAATACTCTGTCGGGCCGGGGTGTGGAGGGCCCTTGGGGTTGAGGATTCAACCTTTTTGGAGAAAAAGGGAATGAAAAATACTAAATAGCAAAAGTCAAACATAATTAAAGGGACATGATTCTTCATTCCATTTCAAGCTATTCTGAGATGGTCTTGATGGGTCATACCATACTGCGCTCAACTTGGGATCCATATATGAGTATTATTTTGAAGGTCTTCGTGGACTCTCATTATTGGGCCTTCTAGAACCAATAATGAACATTGGACTTGCTGGGTTTGAATCTCATCACAAACTATGTGCAAATTGATTGTTCTTATTTGATTTATCCAGAAAAACCCCTTTGTACATGCATGAGACAAAAACAAAGCCAGAATAATGCCAAAACTTAAGAGGGTTTCCACTAATGAAGATGGCATTGTTAGTCTAAGAAGTCCAAAAATGTCATTCTGCGCCTATTCGTTGGAGCTGGAGAAATCATGGCAGATTACTCCAGCTGAGGAAATCTAAGTCAACCCGCTAGCCTAGGGATTTAGTGTAGATTCCTTTGTGTGTTTTCCTTTTATTTCAGCTATGGTTCGTGTAATGGATTTCAGAAATTATTATTCAATGAATTTTTGTTTTCTTTCCCTAGTTTCTTCTCATTATCCCCCTAAACTTCTCTGCTTCCCTCCTATCATTTCTGTTTGGAACCGAACTTTACCAACTTCAGTCCTTTGTTCATAACATTTGCATCTTTCTCACTTCATATATTCCCAAAATATCCCAACCCCTAATCCCCTATAAAACTGTATTGAACCCAAATTTCATTCCAATCTTTACTCCATATCACTTACTTGAATAGGAAGTCTCATCGTGAAAAAGTTATAAGTTGAGGTAATTACCCTTTAAGCTTGCAACTTACCAGTTTATGGCAATGGTTTCAACTTTCCATGGAAAAATCGAACTGTTAAAGTAGGAATATATGGTTTCCACATCTGGGGCCTAAAATAGTTCCAATCTATAATACATTATACATCATTAGTAACTAGTAATGCTGAAATACGACCACATTCAAATCAGTTTCTTCTTTGTTTATGGGTGTATTTGTTTGTCATTAACTTGATATTTGGTTTCTTTTGTTTCTTTTTCCCTTCGGTAAGGCGAATATGGTTTATCTGGCAGATTTTACAGTTACTTTGAGTAAACTCTACTGTAAAGTGAGCATCTGAAAACAGTATCTAAAACATTTTCCACCAATACTAACTAAAAATTGGAAAACCTTTTACAACACAAAAGCTTTCCCCTTAAAACACTTACCTTTTTCCTGTGTTCTTTTTTTCTTTAAATTCACAAAGTGATCATTAGGTTCCAACCAAAAAAAGAACAGTTAATTAATCTCACTGAATAGTGAATAATACTCAATAGACATTAATAGGAGGTGCACAAATTTCATATCCTTTTTATTGGCATCAAAGACACACTAGCAAGCTATATTGCACCCAATGGCCAACATGCAAACTAATCAACTTGCAGAATTAAACAATTAAAAAAAAAACACAAATCAAGAATGGCCACAAACCTGGATTTCTTTTGAACTGATCAAACCAATTAGCAAGACCCAAATCATCAGCCTCAGCATTCTCAAAATCTACAGAAGAAAAAAAAACCCATTAACAATTCAGCAAACCATACATAAAAACATTTTTAAAAAATGCCAAACTTCAAAAATGATACTACATAATCTAAATCTTGAAAAATGGAGTTATTCCATAGAGAGGTGATTACCTGAAAGAATGGGGTTAGAAGGAGATCCAGCCAAGCCAGCTTTGAGGAGGGCATAGAAGATGGCAACTCTTCCAGCCCACAACACTGGGGTCTCAAACAGAGTGGCCCGAGTTGTTGTTTTGGCAGTAAAAATTGAGGCCTTTCTGGGACTGCTGCCCAAATGAAACCTCAAATCAAGACTGGGAAACAAAGACTTTGGCAGCAGAAAAGCAGTGTGATGCTTGAAGCAAGAAGAGGGTAGGGTTTGGATGGCGCTTTGTAGAAGAAGCATTTGGTTTGATTGGATTTCTTCGCAGAATCAAAGAAAATAGCGCAGTTTTTTCAGTGTATGAGATAGATTAGATCCCTTACAGTTCAGCCAGCACTGTGAATAAAGTTTTGGGTGAGAGAATATGCAAGCTTCAAACGGCGTCGTTTAGGGTGGATAAAGTTTTGGGTGAGAGCATTTGCAAGCGTCAGACGGCGTCGTTCAAAGTGGATAAAGAAATGCAAGAGCAATCATTATTGTTTGGACCATACTATTAAATAATGTATATTCAGTATATAAATAATGTATTTTTAATATATTAACAATGTACAATATATTCAAAAAATATATTATTTAAATACTAAAAATATATTATTTTGTATAATATATATTCAGTACACCAGTAATATACTTTTAATATATTAATAATGTATTTTTTTTTATAGTTGATACAGTAATTTGTGGTGGAGTAGTGTACCATGGCCAATGGGCTTGAACTTGATATTTTGGATGGGATAAGATTTAGGGGAAAAATTAATAATTGAAATACACTACATCGAAGTGGACCCCACTCTCGTTCCCATGTGCCAGGTCATCGGAAGGAAAACGATGGGCTTTAAATCCTAGAATGTTTTTAAAGAATTAATTAATTACTTTTAATTTATTTTCGTACTTTCAGCTTATGCTATATTATTTTAAATTTTCAGAACTAATTTAAAGACTGTGAGTTCGAGTCTCAATGGAAGTGTTATTAGCTCTTTGTGTTTTGGTATGTTGAGAAAGTAATTATGAACATATACTACATTATAATAGAGTCAGAGCATTCAAAAAAAATTATCATTAAATTGCAGGATAATTAATCTTATCTTATCTTATCTTATAACTATAATATAACCAAATGGTTTGATGCGTGTTACAATTATTATTTTGGTAAGCAATTATTGTTACAATTATTATCTCTATCTTTACTATAAAATAAAATAGCCGCAACATCTTCCATTTTGGAATTAGTAGTGTAAAATGATTTCCTCCCGTCATTTATAGCTTCTTTTTTTTTTTTAATTTGTCAGTTTTGTTGTTTAATGCAATCGTTTAATATTGAATACAAATGAACAGACGTGTGCCTTTACGATCTCCAACCCTTTGGTTATCATATTGATAAAAATTTATTGTTTGATTACTTTGTTCACACTCTTTAGAATTTTGTCTCTTTGTTATCCGAAAAAAACAGCATTAAATCACATATCTCTTCAATGTTTCCAAACCCAACTATAAAAACACTTCCCACTTTACAGTTTCAAATACAAGTATACAACACAACATTGCTTAATTTACATGGTATGTTTACATTGCATATATAATCTTCGAACTTCATGGCACCTCTCTTCATTATGGCGAATGATTTATCCCCTATAAGAACAAGTAGTGCTATCAAGGTAAGGTGTGTGTACGTATGATATTCGTGATAAGAAGGACAATGAAAGCATAAAGTTGAAGGACTGTGTTTTTCATGACAAAGAGGTATAAATTTTTTATATTAATGTAATCTAATATAATCCGTGATGGCAAAGTTTTACTAATTTTTTTGTTTAGTTGATTCTCAGTAGATTGTTTTAACATCTTTCTTTTTTTTTTTTTTTTTTTTGTTTCTTATTACCTAATAACTATTTATTATGTTATTCAGTTATTGTCTTATTATTCTCTGGTGAAATTTTGTTCATGCTCATGTTCCAAGGGAACATGCATGTAGAGAAGTATCAGGCAGACCTTCATGTGTAGTCATGCACACACACATAGCTTTTCTATTGTGGCTTTTTTTTAGGACAAAACATTTTTTTTTGCCTATTTCACATTTTTTACTGAATTGTTTTTTTTTTTTTTATATATATATTTTTTTACGTTAATCATGGGTTAACGACAGAGATTTAACCTTTACTATGTATTGAAGGTTTTGCACATATGAAATACCAGAAAGGAGAGACAACAAGATAATCAAATGAAAAGAAAGTGTATTCCATAACCAAGAGGTAATAGTGAACATTGTGTGTGTGTGTTTTTTTTTTTTTTTTTCTTTTTAAGTTAATTATAGGTTAACAGAATTTTAACCTTTATCATGTATTGAAGGTTCTGCACATATGAAATACCAGAAATGAGAGACAGCGAGATAACCAAATGAAAAGGATGCATATTCCATGACCAAGAGGAATAGTGAACATTGTTGTTCTGTTTTTTTTTTTTTTTTAATATTAGTCCTAATTCGTGAAAAATATTCATTTTTAATAGTGTTGATCTAATTTTTAATAGTGTTCAATTAGTGTTAATTCGTGTAAATATATATGTGTGTAAAAGTTTCTCAAGTACTTTGTCTTATACTTTTATGCTGTTTCAGTTAATTGTTTATTTTTTTCAGGTTTTTGGATGTACACAACTTTTGAGAAGTTGACCAAAAATATGGATTTTGAAAATTTTTAAAGATAAGGTTTATATTCAAATTCATATTCTTCTCTTATTTGTGCTGTGTTTTTTCACTTTGTTATGAAAATATGTGAGATCAACTATGATCAATGAATAATATTCAAAACGATATCGTTTTAACCATTAATAAAATTTGTCGTGATAATTTAAGGGCAATATATTATTATTTTATTAATAATGGATAATTTGTTTTTCAAGTTAATTCCTAAAATATAATGGTCCTCTGACTATGACCTTTTCTCAAATTGGTCCTTTGACTTTTAATTTCTCCAAAATGGTCATATGAATTTTAAGCCAAAATGGTTCTCCATTAGCTTTGGCGTTAAGTTGGTATTAAAATGAAGGGTAAAATTGAAATTTTAGGTTTTGCACTCCAATTTAAAGCAATATGTGATTTCTTTCAGCAATCTGTGCACATATTTCTTCAAATTAGATTTTTGCTCTCCTAAATCTGCAATCAAACTGTGAGATAATCAACTAGAAGGCCAAAAAAAGTTAATCTTCAACTTCATCCACAAACTTCCCAAGGCAAAGATTTCTGGCGTTCTAGTTGATTATCCCACATTTTGATTATATTGCAAATTGCCAAATTTAGGATAACATAAAACCAAATTTGAAGAAATATGTGTGCAGATTGCTAAAAGGAATCACAGATTGCTTTAAATTGGAGTGCAAAATCTAACAGGGCGTTTGGTTGGAGATGAGGAATTATGTGGGAAAAGATTTATAATTCCATGGGAGATGAATTACTGGGAATAAAGTGGAAATTTAAATTTCAATGTTTGGTTGACAGGAATAGAATTATCGAGAATTTCAATTCCAATGTTTGGTATACATGAGAATTAAAAGGGAATAAGTAGTATAAAGTCTAAAATGTCTATTGTTGTTGTCAAGCATTAATTTTAGGTAAAAAAAAAAAAGGGGGGTAATTTTGACTCATCACTATCTTTTTTTCTTCCTAAAATGCCAGGAATTAAAATAACAGGGGGGACATGGGATTTTAATTTCATGAAAATGGGGGAATTGCAATTCCTTTCAACCAAACAAGGGAATTTTGTGGCCTTTGGAATTAGGTGGGAATTAAGTGGGAAGGGAATTAAAAATTCCTTCAACCAAATGCCCTGTAAATTTCCAGTTTACCCTTCATTTTAACACCAACTTAACGCAAAATTAACGGAAGTTCATTTTGACTTAAAATTCAAAAGTCACAGCTGCCAGCTGTATATGAAGCTAAGCAACGATTATAACAGAAATGAAAAGATAGGAAATTACAAGACTGCCCTTGGCATTACTTTTCATCCTTCATCACAGAGGACCACTTTGTTTTTCTTTTGGGAATTAACTCTTTGTTTTTCTTTGATCGATTTCGAAATAAAGATAGAGTAACGAAACTGAAATAACACCAAGTAATACTTATTGATGGATTTAATTAACCCGGGGGTGTGCCCGAATCAATAAATCCGGATAAGAACGTAATATAATAAGAATAATAAGCGAATAATATAGAACGATGTTGTAAAGGTCGCTGGGGACCGTATATTATATTAATTGCCGTAGTATTTGGCTGTTACAAAGATCCGCTAGGACAAAGTGTGTAATAAGTGTAGAATATGTAATGAATCGCCCTTTGTTAGGACAAGGAGGGGGGTTTTTATACAAGCCAAACCCCCCAACCGCCTCCCCTTAAATCGGGGGTGGTTAGATCTCATGTTTGACCGGGCCCGAGTGGACTGGGTCGGGTCGGGTCCCGAGCTCGGGTGGTGCCGGGCTCGGGTAGGACCGAGCTCCCCGACCCGAACTCCACGTAGGTCGGCTCGGGTCGGGGCACCTCCATGGTGCCCCGGGTCCGTGTTGCTCCTGGGCTCCAATGTGGTGCACCGGGTCCATGTTGCTCCTGGGCACCTCGGTGGTGCCCCGGGTTCGCGCTGCTCTTGGGCACCTCCGTGGTGCCCCGGGTCCGTGTTGCTCTTGGGCTCCACCAAGGTGTTCCAGGTCCGTGTTGCTACCCCGGGTCGGGTCGTGGGTATAATATATCCATCATGAGTCCCCCACTCTCTTCGTTGCGAGTAGGAGTCAACGAATGAGAGTATCCGTGCGCTGACCCGAGCCCCCTAGGTGGAAAATTCCAAGCTCCAAATTTTAGCCGAGGTGCCTTATGCCAAGGCGTCTTGGGCCGATGTGTCATGAACCGAGGGCGTGGTGCCTTGTGCCGAGGTGTCCTGAGCCGGTATACTTGCGTTTTTTTTTTTTTTTAGCCACCCCGGCACCAGCCGAGGTGGACCTTGGCAGCTTGCCGATGTGGGCCTCGGCAGCTCGCCGAGGTGGGCCTCGGCAGCTCGCCGAGGTGGGCCTCGGCAGCGTGCCGAGGTGTGGCAAAGGTAGACCTCGGCACGCTGCCGAGGTGGTGCCAAGGTGCACCTCGGCAACGTGCCGTGGTGCGACCATGGTGCACCCCGGTGTTGTGCCGAGGTGCGTTAGGCCCATTTTTTTTTTTTTTTTTTTTTTTTGCCGTGTGTTAGCCTCTTCAACAAAGTCCTATGAGACTATGTCATCGGGCTCTCCCGTCGGGGTTGGTACGCGAGGCCGGACCTCGTGCCCCCTTAGGGTACGTTAGCCTCTCGGGCTAAGTCCTTCCGGACTACGCCACCGGGCTCTTCCGTCGGGGTT